GGCAAAAATGCATCTCAGTCCCCCAATAAAATTTGTGCAGTTTATGGACCCGATACATTTTCCATTTCCACCGCACAACGATGGTTTCAACGTTTTCGTCCCGGTGTAGAGGTGGTCGAAGATGCACCACGCTCCGGAAGGCCTGTCGTCGAAAATCGYGATAAAATCGCTGAATTGGTCGAAAGAGACCGGCATAGTAGCAGCCGTAGCATCGGTCATGAGTTTTATTTTTTTTTTTATGAACAATTGAAAATTCAATAAAAATATCGCAAGACTTTTTTGACAACCTGTTATATACTTTAAACACTACCAAGGCGCTCAGTTTGCGTGGAGCCATAAACTTAGATTTCTGAAAAAATTGAAGAACTAAAGGTTGCGAGCGAGATTTATACACAAAATTACAAAAAAAAAAAAGAGAAGAATTTTTATATGAGTTGCAGGCGTGTCTTTTGTCCGATAAACATATGTATATGTACACTCCTTATATGAATAGTACTAGAAGATCGTGAATATTTTCGTCATATTTTTGGCAACTTGATTTGATTAAGGAACTGTTTGAGAAACAAGTTGCATGCAATATTGACAATATATCTTCAGAAATACTGACTTTTTATTCAGTGAACAGGACATTTAATTTTACCACGATTTACCACCCAAAAGCAAACGTAGAAGAACATATAAGGAGTATAAAGAAACGACCAGCGCGACGAAGGCATGAGATTCGCCTTATTAGTCTGTATGCTTTCGAATATGGGGAACTTATTACATAAGAATTATACAAGTTTTAATTATGTAAAGGTTTCATAGCTTTCTCGAACTGTGTTACCGATATCGCTCATGAATCGTAATTTGTAATTTTCACAGCTCGGATGAATTGGTGCAATGCCGTTCGCAGGAATGCATTTTCAACGACGAACTGTGTAATGGCATAATAGACTGCAGTGATGGCTCCGACGAGTCTGTTGAAATGTGTGCCCATATAGTATGTCCCGATGGATCTTTTACCTGTGCTTATGGTGCATGTGTGCCCTACACAGCGCTCTGCAATGGCGAAGTAGACTGCGCCGACGGTTCGGATGAATATGCTGAGCTGTGTGCTCCCATAATGGAGGAGAAAGAGAAATATGAAGCGTTGCATTTCGATGATAGTTATGCAGCCAATGTAGGAAAATTCGATGTGATTAAAGAGAAGGAAATTTTAGTGCAAGAAATACTCTCGGGTCAAATTTCCAGTGCACTAATAACTGAGAAGAATATAGATAGCACGATCAATATTATGCCTGAAGTCATCGGTATAAAATCAATTACACCAATAATATCTATAGATGCGGATATTCGAATACCAAACCGACGCTGCGCCATACCGGCTAATCGAGAAGCTTTACGTGCAGCTGATGAAGAGAAGAATGTAACGTTGAAAGTAGGTAGCCAAGTTGACGCTAACACCATTGTTACATTCAGCTGTGACGATGGCTGGTACTTGATCGGTGGAGACTCTATGGCGCTATGCATGACTACAGGCCAATGGTCCTCGGCTGTTCCAAAATGTGAAAGTGAGTTGTTGCTGCAAAATTATAACGAAACTGAAATTTGTATGTTATTATTTCATGCATAGTATGTATGTATACATATATTTAATCTCTTCGTAGAACGTTGCCCACCGCACTGGAATGGTATATCGACCGATACTATATGTACGTACGAAAATAAAACATCCGATTGTCAGGCATACAGTAAACCTGATACAAGTGCCGTTGTAACATGTGCTGAGGGTTATGAATCGAACTCTCCAAGTCAAGAATTGCGTTGCGGTATTGATGGAGAATGGGATAAGACGAAACTAAAATGTCGGCCGCAGTGTGTGAAACAATCCAAGGATAAACCGATGATTGAGGAGGCGAATGTAAGCATCTATAGAATCAGTAAAGATAACTTAAACCAGGAACAGCTCCAATATCAGATGGCTTGCAGAGGCACTATAATTTCACCGAAACTTGTGCTGACTTGTAAGTAAAAGGATTTTAGTTTCAGTTAAATACTCCTATGTATTAGCCTAGCGATAATTATCAGATTGAGAAAGTAAATCGATTAGGGTGGGCGGTCTTGCTGATCTTGCTTAAATCATTCCGAAACTCAGTAGGCTTCAATTAGGATTACTTAGTGAAGATTTGGTTAAAAACTACAGTTTATGGTTATCAGTTTTGGAAAAACTGAACAATGAACTTACACCTTCCCCTCCTCCATACAACTGTGACAATAAGGGTCCGACAGTATTTTTAGCCTTACCGCATGAATGCTTATTGAAAAATGTGCAGTAAGAACCCCTACAAATGCGGCAAGATATTCAGTAAATCTCCTGCGTTCTATTCTACGCCAAAACGATTCTCCGAGACCTAGTCGTCGAGATCTAACTCGGTCACATTCCAATGTGAACGGGGGCATGGGTTTCCACTTTGGCTTGCTCATCAACTTTGCAGTAGTCAGCGATTCTCCTACTTCGTGGCGGTATATCTACCGTCAGCCACAATGCAACCACAATGCGCCAGTCGTTTCTCCAATTGGAGGATCCAAGCAAGGCCAGGTCCTTCTTCACTTGGTCTTTCCTAAGGAGTGGACATCTTTCTCTTCCTCAGTTTCCCCCGGCGGGTACTGTGTCGAATACTCTCAGAGCTGGGGTGTCCATACGGGTGAAATGACCTAGCCAGCGCAGTCGCGATCTCTTAATTTGCTGAACTATGTCAATATTGTCGCATATATAATATTATACAACTCATCCTGCGTTATTCGCTGTGGCCAATGCTCAAAGGACCATAAATCCCGTAACGTCGGGTCATCGGATCCATGCCTCTGCACCATATAGCAAAACGGAATATTGAGTGAATTATAGAGTTTGGCTTTTGTTCGACAAGAGAGGACTTTACTTTTCATTACTGTCTGAAAAAAAAAACAGTTTTCCGGTAGCCTAGAGCTAAGATTGATCTTAGCAACTTTCTCTCCTTCCCACCTAGCTTCGACCGGTACGTAAAAAGCTCACTACGCTTCTTCTCCAGAGCCTATCCATGAGCAGGGTAAAATCTTCCTCGAGTAGGCTTTGCGAATCAGTGATTCTAGTTTTCAAGAATGTAGTTGAAGTAGGGTGCTAACGACAATTATTCGTAAAGCATTAGAGAGTAACGAATCGAACAAGCAAGCCATGGCGTAATCAAATATAGAGAGAAATAAATGTCAACAATTTAACGCATTGATTTAGGAAAGCACGTATTGATACTGGTTGGCATTAGAAAACAATACCATCGGCATTTCAAAGGTGAGATACCAGCTTGTAGTTTATAGAACTTAAAAAGGGTAACAAAAATATATACCTATATAATTATTATAAAAAATTTTATGCTCATAAAACTAATTTTATCTTTACCCCTGCTATTATCGTGCATTCCATTGTGAATGAATTGTTCAATTAAATTTAGTTGAATTTTATGAGTATATATGCATATGTTTTAACTTCTTTCAGCCGCTTTCTGCTTCAACACGAATGACCTGGACAATTCGATTGCAGCCAACGACCCGATTTTATACACCATTCTGCCGTCGAGCATGTCTATTGGGATCTTCGGTCAATACGAGCAACTTAATGGCCGTCACAATATTTCTCAAATTATTATGTAAGTGATTCTGTTACATAACCACTCAATGATAGACGATTAGATTTGGTGTGCATTAATTTTACCATTTATCTTCATTCAGAGCTGATGCTCCCAACATTGAAGTCCAAACAGATGCCCCAGCGATTGTTGTGCTCGTCGATTACTTTACTATAATTCCGAAACAAGTTATGCCAATTTGTTTAGAGTTCCCACTTTCATGTAGCAGCCAGAAAAATGATAGGGATAACACAGACGGATTTCTTGAGGGCACAGCCATATTAAACAGCGAGGATTGCTTTGTCGTCGTTGGTTCAATGGAGTTTATATACATGGATAAGTATCAGCAGTGGCTCGAAATGAAAATGATGCTTCATAATTATCTATTGTAATCTTAGTCCTCAAACTGTGTTATATAACCGAAATCAAGTTGGAAGAATATACTTATAGATGAAGAAATGTATTGGATAAATATATATATATAAATTTTAAATGCCAACAGATTACCTTACTTTAAAAAAATTCGATATTTATAAATATATGGGGTTATTGTATACATATAGTGCGACTAATGTGTGAGAACTTTATCCAAAAACCAAAATCAAGCTATAATTTTCAGCGGGCTATTATTGAAAGTAACTCTACGCTTGTGTCTAAGTTTAGTGCTAGTGTTGCTACTATCACCTAAAACTAAGCGAGATAGATATAGGATTTTATAAAAATGATGAAGAGACGAGTTAAGTTCCGAGTGGCTGTCCGCCCGTTCGTCCGTCTTCAATGAAAAGATTGGATCTTCCTTGACAACGAAGGAAGTTCGGTAATTCAGATGGTAACCCATAAAGTGTGTTAACTCAAGTGGACGAGTCAAAAGTGGTAATTTAGTGGTACCATACGACCAAACATTGGCCAAATCGGACCAAAACTATACCAGCCCCCAGATACCGAATATATGTACCGCAGTGTATCTATGCACTTTTCTGCCTAAATGTCAGAATTTTGAAATATCTAGTTGCCTCATATATTGGTAATAGTACGTGAAGTACCCTCACGAAACCAAGAGACCATCTCCTTCTTTTAATAATATGGTATTGCAAAAAATAGATAAAATCGTGTCAACACTACCCCAATTTCTTTTAAAAGTGGCTTTCTCTATCAAAATAAATAAAAGTCAAAGACAAGCTCTAAAAGTATCCGACATTCCATTCAATAATTCTCAAAGTCGTAAAATTTTGTAAATTGATGTTTCCGATACTCAAATTTAAATTATTTTGCTACGAGAATATTTATTATTTTTACTTTTAACACTCAATTTGTTTTCCTAATAAACCGCGGGTCACACCGCATGGTACAACAACTATGTGTGCATATGTATGTATTTATTTCTTTCAATGTCGAAACCTTTGAAATCTTTACTTTGCCATTAGATTTCTACATATTTTCCATTTCATACAAAGGTTCTTTGTCCGAGCTTATCATAGTTTTCTGTAATTCTGGTATTTGGTTAAACCTGACGGCAACAATAGGCTCGTTTGTGCAGTCATCATTGCGGGCGGGCTTAAAACTAAGTATGCCAATTATATAGTTCACGCCGTCGCTTTCGGCAGTGATCCCGCTTCCACTATCTCCTTCGCACAGGGTTTCATTTCTGTGAAGTTTATATGCAGGGCGCACACAAATATACCTTCCATTCAATTTGGCGCTACAGTTACGACGAGGCAATACATCCAGTTCGGTTTTATGAAATACTTCTGTGATTTTCTTTGTATCTTTCGGCCAACCATGAAGAAATGCTTTTGTGGAGCTTGCAATATATACGCTCTCAGTTATACATATCGGTCTTATGCTCTTACTCAAAGTAAGTATTTCGCTTAGTTTTAGTAGGGCAACATCGATGTCTCTGAAGTGAGAAAATTTTTGAGAAACATTAACCAGATAGAAATGTAATTGCTTAATACTAAAATGATGTGCTTTCGAAATGTCGAAACAAAAATGTTTTAAATACATGGTGAAGACTATAATAACAGGGTTTTCAATAGGACTGCTACAAAAGTGGACTGAAAGGGACATACAACGACGTTAAATTTATTCTAGGTCTTTCGATATTTATCTTCAGTAAAGTAAGCCATTTTATCATGAAAAAACGAATAAAAATTTTTAAAATTTGCTACCTAAGTTCGAAGTGGCCTCACTTTACTGGTAAAAAAGGTTTTTTGAATAAGAGCGCAACAAAAGTCTTTAAAAAAAAAAAACGGTTTGAGATAACAATTATTTTTTGTTCCTGTAACGATACATTCGTACCTCCTCCATGAGTCACCATTGCATCCCGAAAAAACAAGCCAGCGACGATTGATGGACTTCGTATGAATATCGAACGTGAAATTGTAACAGTATCGGCCAATTTATGCTTGAAAAGCGTCGACAATTAGGTTCAGAGTCTGGACTTCCGCAAGCGTGCCCTGCAAAAGAAGTCGAGTTCCACACATAATGCCATCAAATGTACTTTCACAGAATAAAATAATATAAAAAAAACTTATATAACGGCCTTAAAAAGGCATCGGCTTCGCTTAAATACTGAAGACAGCTCTCAAAGCAATGACGGCTTCAGAGCACCATTAATTATGGCCAGACATTAATATTCAGTTCTTTGGAAAATGCAACTAACGGTATTCGGTTAATTCATAAAGTCAACCGCATGCCACGTAGGTGGGCTTACCCAAATGGCCATTGCCCTGTTGTGGTAGCTGTTACTCTGTAGATACTTTTTCCTGACCTATTCAATAAGTCGTTGGCTCTTTTCCTGTCATATGGAACTAAGGGATTGAATGACTTGTTCACATCACAATATGGTGTATGTAAACTATACATAGTCGATATTTTTTAGAGTTGTTGGGCCAATTATGTATTATGAGGGCAAGCTATATACGTTGACATATACATACCCTCCTCCGAAGATATCCGACACATTAACTGAATTTCCATCGATTATCACTACAACTTTGTCGACGCTAAGAGCTGTATCATCTTCAAATTGGACGCAATGTAGAGCTGCAATAAAAACGCATATATAATCAACATGCAAAGAAGGGCTTTTTTACTGAAACTCAACCCAATTAGGGTCAATTTAATATATATTTGTGGTAAAAAGTCCACAATGGGTACTCAGGTACACATAACCGATTTCTAGGCATTTATATTGCGAATATTGATGACATTATTTATGTAATTTTTTGTAATAATAACTTAATGGGTATATGATTTATATACATCAGTATGAAAGAATCAGTTGGATTTTAAAATTGTATTATGTGAGAAGTGGATGGGGTGGATTTGTAAGCCTCTAGGAGAGGAAGCCTTTTACGCCCACAGGAACTCCTGAATGTTTCATGGCAATATCTCAATTTTGACTGAAGTCATCGCTTGCATAGTCACACGGACAGACAGAAAGTCATACGGATTTTAACTCGTCCAGTCATCATAATTATTTACAAATGTATAACTCTATATCGATCTCAATTAGTTGTAGGTGCTGCAAACAACTCTTAGTGAACATACTCTGTAGCAATATGTTGCGAGGGATCAAAAATTCGGTACCGAAACAAAACGCGACCTAATAATATGCTATTTTTTAATGTGGATGTGGAATAAATCGGCCCCATTCACCCAGCCATTTAGGCACATTTCAGTTTTATCTGTTGAACTGTGGATTCAGTCGCATTTGATATTTTCTCTCTATTGGAGTTAATAATATTGGAGGCAAATACCAAACGCCCCTTATTTGAAGGAAATATTTCACTCACCAGTTATCACAATACTTGGAGAGACAATAGTACCTCCGCACCTCTGGTTCAAATATGTTTTGACACCGACGTGCCATGGAGCTACTGATGCGTTATCCGATGCATAACGACCGCAAATCGGTTCACAATTGTCTTTCCTTTTACTCCATTTTCCATCACGTTCGCAAGTCATCTCATAAGAAGCAGAATCTCTGACATTAAAATAATGTATAAAGTAAATAAAATGAAAAAATAATATATCACATGTAGTACAGAGCGAAAGAACAATTAGAACCTCATACAACGCAGTCGTCTAACTATTGAAGTAAACTACAATACATATAATGAAACAAACTTAATCGAATGAAATAAAAAATTTTACGACAAGGCGCTACTCGTACTGCAGAGCTACAAAATGTTTCCCTCAAACAAAAAAAAAAAATAATAATAATACTATTGGTAAATTATTGATCACACGAATGATACACCCTGTTCAGGAAAGTTTCAAGAAGAAGAAGAAGAAGAGAAGTTGAAGAAAATGCTTTTAAATATTTCAAAATGCTTTATTATTAAATAGTCTGAGTAGCGCCCAGTCTTTTAACCATGAGAATCCTAATACTGTAGAGTCTTTTAGAACTTATAGTATTAGATCGGCAATACTTTATACGAACCCTAGTTCTTCCGGCATTTTATAACCATCAGCACACGACACTTTCGCAACCGTACGAGGTACTATTTTGTTACAATCAACCTTCGATCCACGAAGCGAGCATTGGGCTGTTGTAGATTTGCTGTTGTTTAGTATTCTTGCATCGCAATATTCTGAAAAAGATTTCAATAAATTAGTAAATTAGCGTACCTTTTTCTTCGGTGTAACCGAACCGTTATACTCTCGTAATTTGTGGGTCATAAAGGCGGAAAATATGTTCAGGTGACGAAAAAACTGTATATTAAATAAATAAAAGACTTGCAAATGGATTAAAATTTAGTTTTAGACAAACCGTGCATGGTTAGAATCATTCATTACTAATTTCTGCATCATGTCCGATTTTAATATATATATACATACTTACATCGATCTAATTTAGAAAAAATATTATTTTCATCATATTAATGTGGCAAATTGTTGTAATCGCGGGCCTTACGTATTGCTATTGTAAATATATTGCGCCGAAGGGGGGTCTACGAGCTTTGTTCAAAAAGTATCGCGAATTTTGTATTTCTAATACCAATTTAACGCAACAAAACAATCGAATCTCGTGTACTGGTAACCCGCGAAAATTCAAAATTTGCGTTTGGGTTTTATAAACCTCGCATTTCCTTTTGACATTAATCTAAAATATAAACGGGATCCTACGACAGTAGTTTCTCGCTTTTTATAACTTTTTTTTAGCATCACATGTATGTATGTATGTATATAGCTTTGTCCAGTTCGTCTGTAAGTTGAGTAAAAATTGAAGGGCCTGAATGCCACACCTTTGGCATTCAAGAGAGGTCGATGTTTTAAATGGGCGTAATTGGACAATAAACGAAAACCTATAAAGTGTCAGAACTAAGCACTAATATAGTTCGTTATCTTAACGAACTTTGGCCCCCCACCTTCAGATGAAATCCTATATCCCAGGAACTACGCTACCAATTTCATCCTAATTTGTTATGTGAKGTTACTAAGTCATTCCTATTACATATTGTGAAATCGGAATACTATATCGGCATAAAACTTTATACAAGTAGTGCTCTTAAGGTATTTATTCCTATGCCCAACAACTTTTTTTGATAAAAGKCAGTCACTGATGTTCTCATGTTCGCTATCTGGGGGCTTGAAAAGTACCCAATATGTTAATAAGAGCAAAATTGTTATACTCTGTGCTCCAAGTTGCGAAAGTATAACAACAAAGCAGGATAGAAAAAGTTATTAAAAAAATATACTGACACACACATTCGAATCCATATGAAATATATAACGTTATACTCACTTATACACTGCGGTAGTGGGGAATCCCACCTACCATTTCTTTCACATATTCTTCTCTGTTCGGTATTGTTTTCAGGGAAGAAGAAGTTATTGCTACATTTAATAATAATGCGTGTGTTGACGGGAACTCGGCCCCCGGGAATAATGTTATAATTCTCGAGCTCATTTTTTATATAGTAATTTCGATCTCGTCTAACTAGACAGCCCTGATTTGGTGTTGTAGAGACTGGATTTTTTATTACATTTCCACACGTTTTCTCATCCGAATTATCATGACAATCTTTAATGTTATTACATTTTTTAGTTAGAGGAATGCATCCACCAGATTTGCAACGGAAATGCGTATTGGACGGACAAGGTAATAATTTGCACAAATTTGGCCATTCGTCACTGCCATCTCTAGGACAATCGATTTTTCCGTTACAAAATTCATTTTTTGGAATAAAATCGCCAGACTCACACGATTTGAATTCTTCAGGATTTCTGCAAAAACAGAAACACATATATTTAATAATTAAATTAAGTCACGAAAGAAAGTTAAGCTTTAGCAAGAATGATTACTCTTTATGTTTGTTGCAATAATATTTCCACTCATCCGATTTGTCAGCACAATTGAAATAGTTATCGCAGTGGTACTCTATTGGAATGCAAGCGCCATAATTACACTTCACATGATCATTAGGGCACTCCTGGTTTCGACAGGGACTTTCTGTGATATCATTCCACAAGAATTCGTCAGAACCATCTTTACAATCCTTTATGCCATTGCATACATCCAAACAGTCGATAGTGGAACCATCAGTACAGTTAAAGCCCTGGTCGTGATCGCATATTTCTACAAATGAAAAATAAATAATATATTATTATTTAGATATATTTCCATACGATTGCAAGTACACACAATCTTTCTTGAGAGCTTTTTATACTCTCGCAATAATTTTCTCAGAGTATAATCTGTGGGCTGAAAATCTTTAAAATGTGAGTTTGGCCCTCAAACCACCAAGGCAAATCGATAGACATGTTGAAAAGAAGTTTTAATACCGCGTTATATATGTAGTGAAATCGGATATTAATTAAAAAATACTAAAATTGCTATAACACACTAAATAAACACACCGGGAACATAAAATCTTATGTCAAATATTCTACAGAAGACCTTTATAGGAATCTGTGCAAATATTGGACAAAAGGGAGGAAATTCTATATCTCACTGATATTCTTATGTATTTACAAGGTGTTTTCCAAAGTAAACACGACTTTTTGAATCTTGTGCACCCTGGTGGCGCCATCTATATGTCGACTATTGCGTTAGAATCTGCTATCTTTATCGATTGTCCAGTGAGAATTTCATGACATTTCATTGATTGGAAGTGAAGTTATTGCGTTTTAAGTGTCCGTATGAACTTAGAACAAAAAAAAAAAAATTAATTTTGTTTTAAAATTGGTAAAACTTTTACCGAAACGTTTGAATTGATCAAACAAGTTTATGGCATGATGAATGCACGAATGGTGTCAACGTTTTCACAGTGCTTGTGAGGACATATATTACGATCAACATCAACGAGCCGAAATCCCTAAAATTGCGCATGGAGAAGTTTTTATGATAGCAAAGGTATTGTCCACAAAGAATTTGTTCCACCCAGTCACAACGTTCATGCGATATTTTACCTTGGAGTTTTGAAACGGTTGGTGCGCCGTATTTGACTGTTTGACCGTTTGTTGCACGATAATGCGCCATCTCTTCGATCGACGCTTAGGACCGAATATTTGACCAAAAATCAAATTTTAACCATTAACCACTCCCCGTATTCACCTGAAATGGCATGGTGCGACTTCTTCCTTTACGAAAAAATGCATTTGCAAATGAAAGGAAAGCGTAATGCAGACGTAGAAGCCATTCAAAAAGCTTGCACCGGCATATTGGCGGCCATACCGGCCAACGTGCTAACATACTCGTTCGACATGCTTTTGGACCCTACAAAAAGGAGACTGTTTTGAATAAAATAAATTGATTTTGCCGAAAACACCATTTGTTCTGTTTTTTTTTAAGTCCCGTTTACTTTGGAACGCACCTTGTGGTAATGATGGTAGTCGGGTCTACCTAACAGGAACGAATATAGATTTTTATACTTTTGAAGTGAAGTTATTTTGTAACAACAAAGGAATTTATAAGGTCGGGTGTTTTATGCTCTCGCAATTTGTGAGGCATTTTGACAAAGCTACATATATATTAAACAAGAAAAAATCTTCAATTCGGCTGTACCGAAGCTATAATATTCCTCAGCTGCATTTCTCATAACACCTGCCTGTAAAACTAATTTTGAAACCGTAACCGTCTAGCGATTTACATTCAACGGAAAATATTTTGTTTTTTCTAGCCATTTTGTGTCTATAGTGGTTTGAATGACGGTTCCACCAAATGTGTAAAAAGACGGAATTTCTTGAAGGTCGTCCAAAGTCACTACTGGTTTATATTGTGCGCAAACTGTTACTGCAAGATCGTCGTGGGACCTATCGTGGGATTGAGACAACTATGGACTTTAGTGAGATCAGCATTCAATAAATATTGCTGGAACATTTGGTTGGAGCAAATATTTTTCACTTGTGATCTCACACAAATTGTTGATCGGTCAAAACAAGACTCGTTGCGATTGCGGATTTATACGTATGAATCCGAAGGTAAACAACAGCCGACTGTAGCAACCGTTGTTCTAGTGATACACAAGTATTTTTGTGCTTTTTGTCTCTTAAGAAAGCATGAAATCTAACCGCCGACGATAGATCAGTCTTCATTTCAACATTGAGAGGACTCATACATCGACTGAAACAACTGTATATTTGAAGTGCTCGATTTGATTTATTAACTTATGTTGAAGGTCCAGCACTAAACCACATATATTTTAAGGAAACTTGTGTACTTAGATGAATTAAAATTACACATGTTTCCACCAACCTTAACGGATTGAAGTCTAGCGGAAAGTCGGCTATATGTTGGGTGCAGAGATGGGCTAATTGACATAGTTTGCATATGGTTTGTTAGAATAAAATATATTCATAATAATTATAAAAATGTAGTTTATAAGAGTTGGAGTTATCCGTAAACTAAGTTTATTAGTGTTTGACCGATTAATCGGGCATTTTTGGCTGACGCTTAGCCAAATCTTAGAATTTTTTAAATTCCTCAAAAGGTTAAGAGGGTCATCCCATGTGATGGGCTCACGAAATCGACTTTTTTTCCATAAATTGATTTCTGAACATGTCTAGAATACGGTAGTAAAGCGAGGAAGATACAGCAGTTAAAAAAATGAGCTGTGCGGAGCGTTAACTGGCTGACTTGAAACTTTAAATCAAAACCTTTATCAAAACTGTGACATTCAAACTCCATAGTATCACAAAGATGGCTTGACCGAATGACTTGTAATTTGAAGGGTACACTTATCACAGGTAAACGCACGCAACTTTTTTCAAATGTCTACCGAAAGTTCAATTTTTGCTACATTCTTTTGATAATAGCCCATTTCGCGCTTATTTTCTTTTGTTTAAAATAAGACAAGCGGGCTAATATTTTCGAAGCGGTGTATTCAAAACACTAACTCATATTCTACACCATATTTTTAGCTAAA